AAGATTTGCCCTCTACAATATATCGGATAATAATATTTTTTTCAATTCATCAATATTTAATTCAGTAGCAATTGCTGAGATTAGATTCATATATGAAATATTTTCCCCAACCACTATCCCATCACTTTTGTATTGATTGTATTTAACCTCACTCTCCCATATTCCTGAATGCCTTAGCAATATCGTAGTATTCATTACAAAAGCGGATACAAAATTACCTTCAAGGAAATTTTGAATATCGTTTCTACCAAAAAAAATGGAAGCTCACTAATCAAAATCAAAATATCGTTTCAGCCTAAAAGAAGAGAAGATCACTAATGACAAATTTTGAGGGAATACAACTGCTTTTGAAACACACAACTTAATGCCTTTATTTAAGGGAATAATAACCGTGGCATATTAAAAGTAGGAATTAATTCAAATTTCAGTTTTTAATCCCCCTAATTACTTAAGAAACGGATAAAAATCCACCAAATTACTCAACAAACGGATAAAATGGAATACTATATAATGTATCTGACTGTTTTATTATGTATCAGAAACTTATTAAAAATAAGAGATTTTTTGTAAATTGAAAAAGAGTAGGGATAGGAGGTAATTTATGTTTTACACTATGTGATTTACATAATTTTTACAAAAGAATAATATACTATTTATATGATCATTTCATCTAAAAGCCCTAAGTATTTGAAATAAAATATCACGTCTAACATTATAATCATGTTATATATATATCTCAACAAGCCCATGCTCTCCATGGAGGTGGTGAAGGCAACTATACCTTAACATCAACAATTACTTATGGAACCATTTTCTTCTAAGCGATTATGCAAATTCTCGATAGTTTTTGGAAGTTATAGCCAACTGACGAAATCGATATCAAAACAATTTATAATAATAATTATTTCTTATGGAACATGTAAAGTTCAAAATAGACAAATAAATAGCTATCAGAACTATTAATTTGACCTTTTTATGGTTAAGAATGAGGTGATGACTATGCGTTAGGCAAACTGATATTTTGATAAATGATGTGCTTAATTAGATCTATAAGTTCTTAAATATTGTTACATCCCCTATTATTTTAATTAATTGTAATTTAGTCACTGGGTTAAATCTGATCCTCAAATGTAAGTGCTTTTTTTTTTTATAATAAAAACACAGCTTCAACACTCAATATAAAATGTACAAACATATACTAGTTATTTAGTTACCATAAATACAATATTTGTACCAGGAACAATAATATCACCAAGAATGATACTAAAAAAATAATAATCAAGCAACCATTCTGGAGCATCGTGCACGTTAAGCTAGATAAAATGGTACCGAGAACATTATCTTAAATAGAAAAATATGAAGATCGAAAATTAGAATAGACAATGAGTAGATAGTCGAGCGGTTTCTGGAGCACCCATGATGCTAGTAGCCTTTAAGTATCGTATTTTTCCTAATAGTACCCTTCTTTCTTCATTATTATCATCCTAGCTTTCTATTCTGACATTTTATTATTTTTGACAAGAAAAATCCGCAGTCGCTATTCTTTGGATGCGCACAGGGTAAAACCCTCGCTCCTATGCAATAGCTCGCAAATTACATAGGAAAGGTAACCCGCATTAGACAAACATGGTGCGACGAGCTCGACCCAGAAGACAAACCCCTTGCTTTTGCTCGCAAGGGATTTCGAACTTCAGGCATTTCTTTCAAAAATTGTTGTGGAAAACAATTTCCTTGAGTGGATGGTTTATTAGAAAAATCATTCTACCTCCACAAAGATAGAAATAAGGTTTGTGTATACTCACACTCCTAAACATTCTATCTTCAAGGATCCTTAATTCATACGCGCTTCAATGTTATCATTACAGTTCTAAGGCAAACTTCAACTTGTCAAATAAGCCTCTGTAAGAGGAGACAATAAATAATTAATATTTTAATAATGTATTTGTCGTTCATATTTATAGTCATCAGTCTTGATCTAAAGATATATACTTGTATATTTTTTCTCCGTTCGCAACTTTTTTTCATTAAAGCTCACTTTATTTCTATGATTTTCCAGCTGGAAGTTGCTTTACTTATGTGGTGATGTATCTTCCAGCTATTCTGATTCTAACAGTACAAATACATCATGCTAGGGTCCATGCATTATGATGATGATCAAAAGGGCTTTAATTATGCATTGAAAGCCATGATAGAAATGTCCACTAAATTATTCCCATTCAAATTTGAACTCATAATGTTGAGACTCCACAATAATATGTGACATCACACGCACCCCTCGACATTTTTAGAGAGTTTGAATAATATGTGACATCACACGCACCCCTCGACATTTTTAGAGAGTTTGAGCAACAGGAAGAGAAAGAAAGAAGGGAGGTTATCTACAGATACAGCAATATGTTGATATAAGTAGTTTCTGCACTAACTTTATACTGAAGTAGTTTCAAGTATGTTGCCGTAACAAAAATCACATAATTCGTATCGCAAGGAGCGGAAAAAGTAGAACTATTCCCTCTCAGTTCCAACCAATATAATATAATAGACATGAAATAGACAGTATCCAATTGCAATGAAAACAAACAATGAACTTACAAAACTGTAGATTAGCCATGAGTGTTAACAGCTTCCCAGAGTAGACCCCTAGCCTGCATCGCCGCAGTCTTGAGTGTCCTTATCGTCCACCTATTGGCCTCGAAGAAGGACAAACTCCTGTAGGACAAATTGTGCTTTTTGCATAGCTCCTGCACTATAGGGGAAATTTTCCTTAATTGGCACCTTGGTAGCCTTGGAAACAGATGATGCTCAAGCTGGAACTGCAATCCTCCAAAGAACCAATCCATCTGAGGAGAACAATCAATGTCAATAGTCCCGGCTGTTTGTTTCTCGAACCAATCGTTCCCCTTAGGCTGTCCAACATAGACATCAGCAGCAAAATGATTCAAACAGAACTGAACGTGTTGAATCCCGGTCACAGCAAAGCTTGTGAGGACAAACAACACCCTCTCTGTCCAATTAGGCAAGGAGAGCACAAGAAGTGGAAACCAAGTCCAGAAAACCATGATTCCCAATATGTTCAAAAATCTATCAGGCACTTTTCTTTTAGAGAACAACAACAACAATGTCTGTACAAACAAATTCACCCTGGAAACACAAATGATTGGATAAAAAGTAAAATGTTGATAGCTAACAAAGAACTTCGCAAGGGAATCGAATGTTAACTCTCTTCCATAGAAAGTAGAATTCAATGACTTAAACAGGCTTGAAGATACAGCAAAAACTGGCAAGTGCTGAAGATCAGGATCATAATCCAAGCTATTACAAGCCACATGATGAGCATTATGAGTCCATTTCCACCAAGCAATACTAATCCCAGTAAGACAATTCCCAGACATAATCTGTACCATTTTATTGAAACCCTTATTTGTCATAATCAAGTAATGACCAGAATCATGACCCAAATAAGATATCTGCATCCAAGTTAACCCCAATAATCCTCCAGAAAGCATATGAATCAAGAAACTATTACTAAAAAGTACACCATAAAAAGTCAAGAAAAGCAAAAACCCAATAAAACAGAATGAATACATAACCCCATGACCTTTTTTTTCAAACAATCCAGCTTTAGCAAAGTCAACACAAAGCTTTCTATAATCCTTTGATACCTCAGAAACCTCATAATCTTGTAAATAATAACCAGTAAAGAAGTTATCAAGATGTTTCCAAGCAGTACCTGGATGAAAAGCAATGAATGCATCAGTTGCTTCTTGTCCAGCAAGATTAAGTATAGGGATATCCCCACCAGGATGTTGCTTAATCCAATCAGTCACATTGTAAATTTTTCCTTGAACAGAGATCCATAAATCATCTCTTTTGTTATGTTTCTTTAACTCCTCAGCTGTTATGTACTTTTTTGAATCCCCCATTGTGATAAAGATTCAATCTTTATCACAAAAATATGAAATGGGGTTGTTGTTTATAGGGATTTAAAGAGTACTTAGAGAAGATATTTTAGGGAAGACTTCAAAAATGGTGGAGTCCTTCAATAAATTTGAGTCCTTTTTTTATGGGGAAAAATAGTGCGCGTCACCACTTGTTTGACTAAGTTACACCATGTGTTACGGTCAAATCTTATCTTTGCTTTTTTTTTTTTCATAAAAAAAAAAAGACAAATATCAACAATCGTAAATATTATACAGATATTTTCCATCATATTTTTTAGACAATAATGCATTTCTCATCCAAAAAGTAGAATATATATATTTTTTACATTAACGGACATATCGATTGAATCAACAAATAAGACTATGTCATGTGTCTCTATTTAGTCTTTCGTTAGAGTAAAATACATATATGCTCTAAATTTTTGAACGGCAGAAACACTAATGTTCCTAAAGTATGACAGAAGGTATCTATATACCACTTACGACAGTTTAAGAGCATATTTATCTTTTTTCTAAAAAAATAATGTTTCAAAGAATGATTTGTCTTTGTATTTAATTAAAAATTTTAATTTATGTTTGGTAAATAAGAGTATAATTTATAGATACTCAAATATTTATAAATATGTAATATAAGAAAATGATTATATTGATTGTCTCAAATTTGAGGATTTGAAAAAGAAAAACAATCCTGATTCATGTGGTCTTACTTTTAGAAATTAATCTTAGTGAATTTAAATATAAATATTAAATATCAAATTATCTGATAAAAATAAATTACTATCTTATATAGTATGAACCCTCAACTTTCTAATTTATTTTTTTTCATATATAAGTGGTAATAATAAGTCGTTAGAATTAGTATGGTAATTAAAGAAAAAGTCTTGACTCGTTTTGCTTGAGAAAAAAAATAAGTGGGTGTCGTTATTTGTTGTCTCAGTTTCTTATAAATTAAAGATTGCAAAGTCGATGAATTTTTCAAATTTCAAAGAAAAAGATCATATAAAATTAATACGATTTTGTGAAAAATATTATAAAATTGAACCCCTTTGTTAGTTGAAAATAGTTGTCTTATTTCTATTGTTGGAATTAGTTCAGATACTTAGCGAAGAAGTTTCCATGCTTAGTATGTTTGGTCCAAAAAAAAAAAACTTTTGATGAAAATATTTTTTAAAATAAATGTTATAAGCTAGTGGCGCAGAGTTAGAATTTTTAATAAAAAAATTTAAAATTTGAAAAAATAGACATATAAGTAGCTGAATGGAATTTAACGTTTATTATACATACCTAAAACATTATTTTAACTATATAAATCATATATTTTTCTATCAAAAACACTCGAATGAACTCCTGATTATAAGATGATTCCGCCACTGCTATAAGCCATAAGGTGTTAGGAAGCATGGGGTGATAAAGATAAGGAAACTATGAAAATGAGTTAAAAATGAAATAATTTTTAATATATGAGTTCTGATCATAATTTTTTTTTAACTGATTTAATTCGAAATAAGTTATTTATATATACTTGAATAAAAGTACAGGCTTTGAATTTAAATTGTCTGAACGAATAATCTATATATCGAAATGGAATAGTAATTTTGTCCATGTGTAGTGTGGATGAAAAGAAACAAATGCCATTTGTCATTTTCCTTTTATATATTTTATTACGTAAGTGATTTTTTTTTTAAGAAAAAAATTATTTATTTAAAAAATATTTTAAAACTTTTACTCACCCAAATATATATATTTTTTTAGAAATATTCTTTGATATCAAACAATATTCTTTTCTAGAGAAGATATTTTAGGAGAGAGAAATGTAAAATCTTAAATTATTCCTACTACTTATTTCATAATATAAAGTATAAAGTATAAAGTATAATACATGTTTTGATCCTTTTAAGAAATAGTTTGAATCGTTCCTAATAAAAGAAATAACTCAAATTAATTAATTCAGCATAATAAAGTGATAAATATTTTTTTTAATTTTTGATAAAATATTTAAATTGAATTTTGAGAATGAAATTACTTTTGATTAGAAAATATTTTATTTTAAAATTAAATTTCTTTAATGTCAATTTAAATTAATTAATTAATATTAAATATCAAACGAAAAATATTACTCATTTGGCACGCGTAATGAGACTTTTTTCATCTATTTATTAGGATTTAATGAAAGTATATAATTCTTTTTTTTTTTGGGTAAAAGAAGCATATAACTTAGTTTTCTTGCTTATATGAATTTCAAAGTAATTTCACATGTATTGGTCGGCACATTATTGGAATTAAATATTTTGGCATTATAGGGACGTGCAATTACTTCTATTTAACTACCCTACTATATTTTAAATATCAAATTTTCTCTTGACTTTGATCTTTGAATAATAGATATATTTTAATAAAAATAATTTCATGAGATAATTTATTATTTATTTTAATTAAATTTTAAATATATTTTTTTTCATTTTTAAATTTCGTAGCTAGTCACATGTCATTATAAAAAAACATAATTTCAATACCAATTTGTAATTCAAAAAAATTGAAAATACAAACTTCTATTCGAGTTTTCTTCTTGCCAAATTGTGTCACTCTACTTTTACCTAATTAAAATTCTAATCTTTATCAGTATGGATTGCGGTACAGTGGCAGAACTGCTTCAGCTTTAATTAGAGGTATCAAATTTGAGTTTGAGAAATAGAGAAAGTCAGCGTCACACTCAAAAATATATGTCGTGCATTGCAATATCCGACTGAATGGACCCTACAATACATGAACCACATATAATCAAAATTTTAATGCAAACTTCTAATATCGAATGAGAAATCAAAAATAAAAACCCTAATCTCGAAATGTTCCCTAGTAAAATGAGTTGTGCTAATTAGTTATTACAATTTGTATAAAATGTTGTAATTCACAAAAAAAGTTTGACTAGTTTTGAGAAAAAAGTGGCTGTCACCATTTGTTGACTGAGTTTTTACATCAACTAAGAATATTGCATTAACGTATTCGTTATGTTACATGTTACTACTTGTCAAAGATAATATTGATAAAGACACAAAATTGTCACATTGTAAACTTTCTCTTTGTTTTATTCTTAGAAATTTCCAAATCAAAATATTACTATAATATTTATAACGGATCACAAATTCAAATCTTTTAATAGACGAACTCTCTGGCTTGTTAGGTTGTTAAGAGTTCCACATCATTTATACGTTGGATGAGAAAATGGATTCTTTATATGAAATTCCCCCTGGATAAACTAGTTTATAGAATTGCGTTAATTTTTAATATTTATTCTTTTATTCTTTTCTAAAGTTAGAAGTTTATGGAATTGCGTTAAATTTTTAATATTCATTTCTTTATCCTTCTTTTAAAATCAGATCAACTCATTCCAATTTATTATTTTAAGGGAAAAGGACAAATATACTTCCGAACTATTATAAATGGTATGTAAATAATATTCGTCATACTTTTGGGATATTGGTGCCTTTGCCGCCATACTTCTGGGACATAGATGCCCCTGTCGTCATATTCTTGGGACATTGATGCCCCTGCCGTCATATTTTGGGGATATTGGTGCCCCTGCCCCTTCGTTAGAGTGAAGGGCATATATGTTTGTAACGACCTGTTTAGTCGTTTTGAGCAGCAGATTTTATTTCTGGAAAAAC